TCTCTTCAATTGTTGCAAGACTCCCTCGCAGGGAGGAGCCACTCAAACTTCTTAGATTTCTTTAGTGTATGGAAGAAGTGGTGGCACTTATCAGCGGATTTGGGAATGAAGTGACTCAGGGTGGCTACTTGTCCTGTGAGGCGTTGGACGTCTTTGATGCAAGTTGGTGATGGTATATTGAGGATCGCTCTGATCTGGTCGGGGTTGGCTTCTATCCCTCATTGAGTTACCATGTATCCCAAGAATTTACCTGACGAGACATCGAACGAGCATTTGGTTGGATTCAGCTTCATGTTATACTTCCTTAGGACGGCAAACGCCTAGCTGAGGTAGTTGAGGTGCTCTCGACTATTAGGGACTTGACAAGCATGTCGTCGATGGAAACCTCCATGGTGTCCCAAAGGTGTTTGGCAAACATTCTGTTGAGTAGCCGCTGATAGGTAGCCCCAACATTCTTGAGACCGAATAGCATCACCTTGTAGCAATAAGTTCCCCTCTCTGTGATGAAGGATGTCTTCTCCTAGTCATCGGGGTGCATGAACATCTAGTTGTACCCTAAGAAAGTGTCCATGAAACTTAGAAGCTTGTGGTTTGCGATCGCATCGACCATCATGTCGATATGTGGGAATGGGAAGGAGTCCTTAGGGCATGCCTTGTTTAAATCCGTGAAGTCAATACAGACACTTCACTTTCCATTCTTTTTCTTTACAACCACAACGTTTGCTAGCCAGTCGGGGTAGTGGACCTCTCTGATCAGACCATTATTCAGTAACTTATCAATCTCCTCATTGACGATCTGGTTGCGCTCTAGTGCGAATTTTCTACGCCTTTGCTTCATTGGGGGGTGATTCAGGTCTACTTTAAGGTGGTAGACAATTGCTTCTGGGTTGACTCCTGTCATGTCAGCGTGGGACCAAGCGAAACAGTCCTGGTTTCGTTTGAGGAATTCTATGAGTTTCTCTCTTGTCTTGGGCCCGAGGCGAGAACCTATATGGGTCTTTCTTTTGGGGTCATCCGGGTGTATCTACACTTCATCCAACTCTTCCATAGATGGTTGATCTGGCTCAGTCGGAGGGGTTGGATAAGACTGTAGTTGCTATGAAGCATTACCTTTGCTTTTGAAAGCGTTGTAACAATCTCTGGAAGCCTTAGGATCGCCCTTGATTTCTCTTACTCCCCATTTTGTTGGAAACTTGATGGTTTGGTGGAAGGTGGATGAAACAGCTCGCATGTCGTGGGTCCAAGGTCGGCCTAAGATGACATTGTATGGTGAAGGACAGTCGATCACTAGGAAAACAGTTTGCTTGTTTACTCTGCTAGCATAAACAGGAAGAACGATTTCCCCAATGGTGTTTTTGTTCGGAACTGAACCCAACCAATATGGTAGGTCGTTTGTTGATGTTTGTTTCTTCTAGACCCATGGCCTTCACTGCTTTGAGGAAGAGAATGTTTGTCGAGGAGCCCCCATCTATGAATACTCTCTTGACTAGGATGTTGGCGATCTAGAGGGAGATGACTAGAGCATCGTGATGAGGGGCGGCTAGGGTGACTGGCTTGTCATCTTTGAGCTGAATTACCTGGTGGGAGTGCAACCGAGATGACGGGTGGATGGATTGGATTTCATGGTGGTTGTTGGCTCTAGCATAGCATTTGGCTGACGAATAACTGACCCCACTGATCTCCAACTCTCCTGAGATGATTGAGCATAATCCTTTTGGCATAGGTTCTCGTGGAGGCGGAGATGTTTCTTTCGTGCTTTTCTGGCTGATGATATTCTTCCCTTTATCTGTCAATAGATCTCAAAGATGTCCCCCTTTATCTGTCAATAGATCTCAGAGATGTCCTCTCTTCAGTAGTGTGGCAACTTCCAACTGCAGGGCAATGCAGTCCGCGGTGTTATGTCCATGGTCACCCTAACAATGATGAAGAGTATTTACAAGATGGAATTAGAATTTTGCACTCGAGGGGTTAAAGTGTAATTTTGAACAATAAGGGGGCTGAAAGGAGAAAAAGATTTAATGTGGTAAAATTAAGATATTTATTTATAGGTAAATGTTCAAAAGTTTCCTTCGAATGTGGTTGTCATGGCCCCACAGGCCATAATGTTGGTCTGCCTCTGCCACAACCAAGTCAAAGTCCCCCTTCACTAAGGTCTACTTTGATTTTTGAATTTTGCTGCATCATTTGATTAATGTTTAAATATATTATTACATTTATACTGATATATAATCTTTTGTATACAAATTTATGTTATAGTAAAAGGAAAAAGAGTTGATATAATAATTTGATATACTAAGAAAAAAAATATTAATATAATAGTTTACATATAAAATTCGTATATGTAGCATATGTTTGCTATGGTTTATTCGAGTATTGGTTATAGAGGAAGAGTTTGTATCAATTAATTGTTTGGTTAGAAAAATGTAAAAGAGCTTTGTAATAAACAAAAAATTATTTAAGTCAAATATATAAAATAGGAGGATATTTTTTAAATTTCAACAATTTAAATAAGTTGAAAAAAGGTTAATAAAAAGCTCAAGTTTTGAGTTGTTGTACAACGACTTATTTTGAATCATATAAGCGCTTTTAAAATGATATTAAACAAACTAATAAGTTTTTTTGGTCAACAGATAACTCAACCAAACAATGCTTTTAACCTTGATCCCTTTCCAGTAGCAAAATTTCCACCATCTTTTTTATTTGATTAGCGAAATTCACACCATCTTTTTTACTTGATTGGATTTCATGTGTGAAGGATTGAAGTTTGGATCATATATCAAATAGTGTGTACAAGAAATTTAAGAGAGCTTTCTTCTCCACTCAATAAGCATATATATATATATATATGGAACAGATAAGCTAATAGATAAAAACTTGAGCTTCAAACAGCTTTTCAAATGGTGCCCAAGATTATCCTGAGTGTTGTTTTCTATATATTCCTCTCTATACAACTGCACCCATCAATGGCGCAAACTAATTGGATCAGGGCTGGTTTTTACATGTATAACCACTATGAGTTTCCCATTTCGGAGATCAATTTTGCTCTCTTCACTCACATTATTTGTGATTATGCTGCTGTGAATTCTACCTGCTACCAACTCTCTTTATCACCGGCTGATGAACAACATTTCTCAGACTTTACACATACTGTAAAACAAAACAACCCATCAGTCACTACAACGCTATCTATTCATATCAATGGTGATGCAATGTTAGAGTCATGAAAGTGATTCTATTTTGTTGATAAAAAGATCCTATGTATAATTAAATTGAAGTTATATTGAGACAATTAAGAGAAATTATGAATTTATGTATAAAAATCATATTTTGAGTTTTTCTTACTAATTTGGCATGCTTTGATTGAAATTTGAGATTGTGTAAGTTGATATTAGGATGTGATTTCTTTTCTAGGGTTGATGTTGTCTCATTTATGTTGTTAAAGGGTCAAACTGTCATAAACACTTGGGGTTTATTTTGTCATTTTTCAATAGGCAGGGACCAAATGGATAATGTCCGAAATGTGTATAAATTGCAGGCGAAAGGTCGTTAAAAGGGGCAGCCGCGAAGGGACCTTCACCCATCTCTGGAATTTGGTCGTCGGCCAGCGACGTTTCATCTTCCAGGCTGACGACGCTTCACTATCTTCCGCCGATCGGCCACCTTCCACCTCCATTCAACCAACGCCGACGACGTATGCCTCCCACCGTCATGACTCTTCATTTTCTGGTGATCTTTCAGCTTCTCCGGTGTGGATTCAGCTTCTCTAGGTGCTTGCCACCCTTCCCACAGTCAGATCTACCTTCCATCTCGCCAAATCGCCGTCGTTCAATCGCCAAATTGCCGCCGTGCCTCTTCGACTTCCCAGCACAATTTCGCTCACTTTCGAGCAACCTTTCATCTCCCCATCACCAGAGGTTTCCATCGGTACCTTCGGATCCCATTTCCGCCACCATTTGCCAGAAGACCCGCCGGAAAACTAACTTTTCTGTTTTCCAGCGAGTGCGACTGTTCGTATTCCAGGGTATCCGTTAGTTATTTTCGCTCCTTCTTCGCATCACATCGCTGTTGGTTACTTCCTCTCTGCCATGATCAGCTTCGTTTCCACCGTTTCAGCCTCCATCGACACCACCATGAGCGGCCAAGTTCCCGGTTGTCTGTCACGGCGTAGGCAAGATCAAGATTGACTCCACTGCTCTCCTCATCAGCTCTCGACTAGTTGGATGAGCCCGAATGTTGGACATTTGGTTAAGTTTCTTTTATTCAGATTATATTTGTTTCCGTTTTAGTTCATTTGGGATGCTTTAATATTATTCTGATGTTCGACGTGCTGAATTGATAATGTCTATTAAGAACGTTTGTTGATATATAACTTTTCGCATAATTGAATGTAGGCTTGAGATTATTGAATGTTGATTATGACTTTAAACTGTTTCGGTATTAATTGCAATCAAGTTGTATTTGCGTTTAATATCATTTCTACTAGGAATGCATTTGTTGTATAATTAGTTGATTGGATGATACAAGTTGATAGGTTGTACTTGTTAACGTTGTACCAACTAGTGGTGTTTAAGGGTTTAGCATTTTTCGATTAGTCAACAATAGTCTTTAACCAATTGATCCGTAACTAAGATGACGAGGAGACAAGATAGATTATACTAGATTGTTGGGAGATATTTTTATTGATTTGCCTAGCCCTGTAGGTTTAGGAAATTGAAGAGTGAGGAGAGGAATTGTGTAAGTTGGTCTCGTGTCGAACCAAAACCGTAACGGCAACGTTTTTATTACAAAGTCTTCATTAGTTTTAATTTCACGCTTTTATTATTTGCATTTAGTTTGTTTAGTTTAATTTATCAAATTGCTAATTTCATTTCCACTACTCAAATATACATTAGGTTGTTAGTCTTGCTCTCTGTGGATTCGACCCTGCTTACCGCTAACTACGGTATTTAAGTTTAATTTTGTGACTGTAACGACCGGTTCGACATGCAACCTATTCTACAATGGTAAGCACTTCTTCAAACAGAAAATCCTTCATCGATTCCTCCACAAAAATAGCCAGACGTTACGGTTTCGAAGGCCTAGATTTCTCTTGGTTATTTCCAGCCACAAGTATTGATATGTTCAATATGGGAATTCTCTTTAAAGAGTGGAAAGCCGCTATTGATTTTGAGGCAACACACTCAAGCAGGTCTGCACTGATCTTGACGGCAAAGGTTTATAATACACTAAAGATTTATTCAACAAGTTACCCTATGGAGTCGATACAACAACACTTGGATTGGGTTTATTTTTTTGTGGATTACATTAAAAATGATATTAGCTGGGACAGGCATACGAGCACTGAGGCATCTCTGTATAATCCATATGATTTTGACAATGCGGATTGCGGCATAAGAGAATGGATCGATGGAGGATTATCGGCTAATAAAATGGTGTTGACTTTACCTTTCTATGGTTTTGCATGGAGGCTGGAGAATCCTATGGACAATGGTATTGGTGCACCGGCAAAGGTACTTCCCACTAATACGGAGAACGGAATTGTGGCCTATAGGGAAATCAAGAATTACATTGACCAATATGGTCCTGATGTTCATGTTAGGTACAACTCAACTTATGTGGTGAATTACTGGACAAAGGGAACAACTTGGTACTGCTTCAATGACGTTGAGGGGATTAGAACTAAGGTTTCTTATGCCAAGGAGAAGAAGCTGCTTGGCTACGTTGTGTGGCAAATCCCCTATGATTATAATTGGATGCTTTCCAGTGCTGCAGGTAAGCTACGATTAAAGTAAACAAAGTACTCCATGAATTAGGATTTATTGCGTCACCTGTAGTTAACATATTGATTATTTTTACAGCTGAAGTGGGCATAACTGATTCTTCTGGCCAGGATAGTAGAAAGGGACAAAATGATAAGAGGCAATTGCTAGTAATCATTTTGTCTACAACAGCTGCTTTTGCTCTTCTATTAGGAATATTTGTGATATTTTACTGCTGTAGGAGAAATCTCGGATTCAAAGGTAAGTTTCCCAAGAATTTATAAATACTGTTTTACTTAAAATAAGTAAGCAGTTTAATATTATTATTTTTTATAGGGTTTTTGGTGAACTCCACTAAGGAATCCACTGATAAAGCAAATAAAGCAGCATCCGCTGGAGACTTTAATACCAACATTCCTAATCTGACAGAATATCAATTGGGTGATATAGAGGCAGCCACCAATGGATTTTCAATTGAAAATAAGCTTGGACAGGGTGGATATGGCCCTGTTTACAAGGAAAGTTTGGTTACAGTATTTATCATTAACCATTTTAGTCTTTTGTTTAATGTAATTTGCCAATATATAGTATTATCAGAATTAGCTGTATCTATTGAAAGGTACCAACCAACAATACTGTCTTCTGTTAGGGAACACTACCAGATGGACAGTTAATAGCATTGAAGAAACTTTTAAAAATATCCACACAAGGATTTGAAGAATTCAAAAATGAGGTTATGCTTACTGCCAAGCTACAACATGTAAATCTTCTCCAAGTTTTGGGTTTTTGCAATTAATGCTGTAATAGCTCATATGTGAGAGATAGATGAATTATAACATGTAGCTCTGGCAGGCTAGATATTGTTAGTTCCTTCTAGCTGCAATGTTTTTATTATTGTGAGAAATAAATTAAGTTTGTGTAGATGCAAAAAATCTACCGTCATGAAAATAGGGTGTGATCCCGTGAGGTTGAGGTCACTGACAATCCGATAGACCTGCACACATGAAAGGGCAAGCGTGAAGCTTCCGGAAAACACCGAGGTGGTGTTTGCCGTAGGCACTCCGACGCTCAAGTCAGCAAGGCTGAAAGAGATTTAATAAGAATTAAGGAGAAGAAGAATTACCAGGAGTCTTGTCAGAGGCTAGGACTACGGCGGAGGTGTCGGGTTCTTGGGAGCAAGAACTTAGGAGCAAATAGATGGTTTTTAATAGTGTAGATTGACTATGGGAGATTCCCCTTAATGAGAGGGTAAGCCTCTGTTTTTATAGTAAACCCAAGGGGTTGGAGTTCTAGTAGGACACTGAGTCCTCTTTTTTGGGAGATAATCCCTATCAAGAAAGAAATATGATTTCTTCACCTTATCAGATTAAGTTTAATAGTTTAAATAAGATTTGGAATCTTAGTAGGACATTAAGTCCTATTGTGGGAGATAATCCCTATCATAAAAAAGATATGATTTCTTGAACTTATCAGATTAAGTTTAATAGTTTGAGTAAGATTTGGAATCTTAGTAGAAGAGGAAATAGAATGGGATTCTGATTTCCTATTTATAGACTGTTGCAGGCTAATGGGCTGAAACCCAGTTTAGCTTAACTTATAGGATAGCCCAACTCATAGAGTGGGTAGGTCGCAAGGTGATTTTAAGCGTTTTAAATGTAGGCCCAATCGGATTGGGTTAGGCTTGTGTTGGGTCGTGACATGTTATTTCGTTATTGGGCCCGTCAAGCCCAAGACGATTTTTGGCCCTAACAGTTAGCCCCCACTCTCTAAGTTAAAGAGTATTTAGCTTAAGAGTAGATTAAATCGAATGAGTGCAGACTGAGCGGATTAGTGATAGCAGCTCGTTAGGTCGAATGGATCGTTGTGTGGATTGGTCGATTACTTGTCGATTTGAGGTGCAAGAACTCTTCAACCAGTCTGGCTGACTGAATTGTAGCTTTATGGACCGGGCAGGACCAATCGAAGGTGCAACCGTGGATCGGCAGGGTCGATCCGAAGTGTAAATCCGTGGATCGGCAGGGTCGATCTGATTGTGTAAATCCGTTATCGAGCAGGGTCGATTCGAAGGTGTAATCCATAGATCGGGCAGGGCCGATCCGAAGGTGTAGATCCGTGGATTAAGCAGGGTCAATCCGAAGGTGTAAATCTGTGGATCGAGTAGGCTCGATCCGAAGGTGTAATCCGTGGATCAGGGGGGCTGATCCGAAGGTGTAGATCCGTGGATTAAGCAGGGTCAATCCGAAGGTGTAAATCCATGGATCGAGCGGGGTTGATCCAAGGTTAAATCCGTGGATCGGGCAGGGCCGATCCGAAGGTGTAGACCCCTAGATTGAGCAGGGTCAATCCGAAAGTGTAAATCCATGGATCGAGCAGGGTCGATCCGAAGGTGTAAATCTGTGGATGGGTAGGGTCGATCTGAAGGTAGATCCGTAGATTGAGCAGGGTCGATCCGAAAGTGTAAATCTGTGGATCGAGCAGGGTCGATCCAAAGGTGTAAATCTTTGATCGGGCAAGGCCGATCCGAAGGTGTAGATCCTGTGGATTGAGTAGGGTCAATCTGAAGGTGTAAATCCGTGGATCGAGCAGTCGATCTGAAGGTGTAAATCCGGTGAAGGTGTAGATCCGTGAATCGAGCAGGGTCGATCCGAAGGTGTAAATCTGTGGATCGGGCAAGGCCGATCCGAAGGTGTAGATTCGTGGATTGAGCGGGGTCAATCCGAAGGTGTAATCTGTGGATCGAACAGGGTCGATCCAAGGTGTAAATCCGTAAAGGTGTAGATCCATGGATCGAGCAGGGTCGATCTTAAGGTGTAAATCTTGGATCGGGCAGGCCGATCCGAAGGTGTAGATCCTTAGAAGGTGAATCGTGGATCGAGCAGGATCGATCCGAAGGTGTACTGTGGATCGGGCAGGCCGATCCGAAGGTGTAATCCGTGGATTGACGGGTCAATCTGAAGGTTAAATCGTGGATCGAGCAAGGTCGATCCGAAGGTGTAAATCTGTAGAAGTTGTAGATCCGTGGATCGAGCAGGGTCGATCTGAAGGTGTAAATCTTTGGATCGGGGGAAGGCCATCCGAAGTGTAATTCGTGGATTGAGCGGGGTCATCCGAAGGTGTAAATCGTGATTGAGCAGGGTCGATTCGAAGGTGTAAATCCGGATCGGCAAGGCCGATCCGAAGGTGTAAATCCGTGGATTGAGCAGGGTCAATCCGAAGGTGTAATCTGTGGATGAGCAGGGTCGATCCAAAGGTATAAATCCGTGGATCGAGCAGGGTCATCCAAATGTGTGAATCCATGGATCGAGCAGGGTCAATCCAATGTGTGAATCCGTGGATCGAGCATGGTCGATCAAAGGTTTAAATCTATGAATTGGGCAAGGCCGATTCGAAGGTGTATGCCAGGTAGGCTTGTATGGAGCTTGCGGTCAAGTCCGCGTGACCGACTTGTAGTTGAAACCTTTTGATTGAAGCTAGAGCAGTGACTTGCATGGCATGCATGTTTAAGCAAAGAGCCAAATGGGCAGCTAATATGCGTGGTGTTCATGTGTAATAAACCAAATAAATAATAAACCAAATAGAGAAAGAAAAAGACAAATGGGGGTGAATGTTTCTACCATGTGATTGGCAAAAACTAAGCAAATGAAGTTTTAAGTAAACTTACCAGGGAAATGGTGTGCACGCTAAATGGCCAAGTGGTTAGATTGAGCTGTGCCGAATGACCGATTGTAACAGAAAGGCAAAAGAGCCGAGCTGATTAAATATTGTGCATTTTTAATTGCAGATGCAACTGCAATGGTCGATGTATAGTGCGACTGACTTGGCTCTGCTCCTCTACTCGAGAATGGATTCACATGGAGCACACTTAAAAGGTTTTACTTCCCATTACACGTGGTCTCCCACATGGTGGTCATGTCTCAATAAAAAACTCAATATCCAATAGACAGAAAAAATGTGATCTTCTTTTTCAAGATGCAACATGAAGTTGACACATGTCATTTTGAAATGTCAAACATTATGGAGCAATAAGCAATTCCTTACCTCTTCTAATCCATCTTCTTTTGGATTTCGTATTTTGCGAAAAAATTCATCCTCTCTTGTGTTTTTCCGACGAAGTTTTCCAACCGCTTTTTCTAAGGTAAACTTTCTATTTCTTTGCTTGGTTTGTTTGGAGCTGGAGGTCAGCAAAAGTCTGGTGGCTCCCCTGTGTTTCTTATTTCTTGGTCAATACAAGTGGGCAATTTTGTTGGCCTTGCGAAGATGGCAGGACCTGTTGATTTTAATAAGAATGTGGAGTATTGACAATAAGATAAGGACTGGCTGTTTCCCAGTGACATCGATAATGTAATTGGTAGGAGAAACCAATTATTACACCGCCACTGCCATCCTGAAATTAACATAATCAATTGGGACGTTTGGTTTGTGCATAGTAGTAGGTCTGGTACCAAGTCTCCCAAATACTTGATCAAGGTGGAATTATAGTAAATAAGTCTCATTCATCATTAGCACAATTAATACAAAGACAAAAGTTCAAATAACATGGTTGATTACACACAGGTGTCAAGATAGGCACACATATGCACTCACAGAGAGAGAGAGAAAGAGACAGAGCTGCACATAACGTGTGTTAACACTTGATCTACGAGAGAAAGGATCAACTCTGAACCAAAGTATATGGTCTTGATATCATATATCTATAACTAAGATAAAGGTACTTCTTATCAATCCCAAATGTGGCCATATTTTTGCAGATCAAAGTAACGGTAAATAGTACGGCAATTGCTTTTTTCCATGTTCGATATTGCAAAACGCGTAGAAGTAAAATTAAGTATATCTTACTTCATGGACCTAAATGAGATGGATCACATTTTTGTCTTTCTATTGAATTTTTTTTTTTTTAAACACTCGATAACAGGCCTAAGAGATGTGAGAGTTTTTAGACACGAAATACCTTCTAAAACGAAATTAAACCATACGAAAAGTGAGCAATATTCCAACTAATGCATAAACAAATTATGAACACGAGATGTGTTTTGTGCTTCAAGTTATCACATTTCATGCTTAATAGACATAATATGACATTTGAATTATTCCTAGATACTTTCAATGGATTTAAAATGAAGAAAATTAACAAAAATTTTTCTTATCGTGATGGAATTTTCGGGTTAACGATGCCAGTCAAGGGAGTTCTGTGTCTCCTCTCATGTTGCAAACTGTCGTTGGCAAATGATTGTCGTTTTGCCAAACTGTAGATGCAAAAAATCTACCGTCATGAAAATAGGGTGTGATCCCGTGAGGTTGAGGTCACTGACAATCTGTTAGACCTGCACACATGAAAGGACAAGCGTGAAGCTTCCGGAAAACACCGAGGTGGTGTTTGCCATAGGCACTCCGACGCTCAAGTCAGCAAGGCTGAAAGAGATTTAATAAGAATTAAGGAAAAGAAGAATTACCAGGAGTCTTGTCGGAGGCTAGGACTACGGCGGAGGCATCGGGTTCTTGGGAGCAAGAACTTAGGAGCAAATAGATGGTTTTTAATAGTGCAGATTGACTATGGGAGACTCCCCTTAATAAGAGGGTAAGCCTCTGTTTTTATAGTAAACCCAAGGGGTTGGAGTTCTAGTAGGACACTGAGTCCTCTTTTTTGGGAGATAATCTCTATCAAGAAAGAAATATGATTTCTTCACCTTATCAGATTAAGTTTAATAGTTTAAATAAGATTTGGAATCTTAGTAGGACATTAAGTCCTATTGTGGGAGATAATCCCTATCATAAAAAAGATATGATTTCTTGAACTTA